CAGTGTTCCCTAGGGTTCTGTCCTAGGCCTCTTCTCTTTCACATGCTCTCAATTTCTTTGTGATATCATCCATTTGCCTCAAAATACTGATGATTCCCAAATGTACATCCCCAGGTTATTTCCCCCCAAATCAGACCCCTGTTTTGCTTTCCCTTCAGTAATAATAGGAGAGTGTTTTCCTATGCCCCTTGAAACATAACCTAAGATGCTATTTTTCTTTTTAATTTCACTGACATGATAGCTGCTTTGATGAAATTTCATGCTGTTACATTCCATCTCTTTTCCAGCATATTCTCACAGCATAAATTCTCTACTTGCTAGTCAGTCAGTTGCCATCTCAGTTATCATATCCACTGTTGTGGTACCACAGTGCTAGTGTTCAAGTAATCATTGACTTGCTTAATAGTGGTCCCAAAACAGTTTGAAAAGATTGCAATTCACTTACATTAAATAAAATCCATAGAGTGTTTATTTAAAAGAAAAGCTGAGTGTTCTTAACTTACTAAAGAAAAAAATCATATTCCTAGGTTTCTATGACCATTTCAGTGTGGGGATGTGCCCAGTATGTGTGAGATTCTGAGTTTGATTTGTAACACCAAGAATAAAAATAATAAAAAGAAATCCTCTTTTATTCATGAAATTGTGAGGAAATAAAGCAAGGTTCGTGATAGTTTTAGTGTTGTATCTCAAACTAACAAACCCAACGGTCATGGAACATGGCAAGTGCTTAGTAAATAACACTCAACGGAGGAATCTAAAGTGGCTGAAAGACACTTGAGAAAGTGTTCAACATCCTTAGCCATAAGGGAAATGCAAATCAACACAACTCTGAGATACCATCTTACTCCTGTCAGAATGGCTAAAATAAAAAACACCAATGACAGACTATGCTGGAGAGGATGTGGAGAAAAAGGAACACTTCTCCACTGCTGGTGGGAATGCAAACTTGTAAGACCACTTTGGAAATCAGTATGGTGGTTGCTCAGGAAAATGGGAATCAGTCTACCTCAAGATCCAGCAATTCTTCTCTTGGGCATATGCCCAAAGAATGCACATTCATACAACAAGGACATATGTTCTCACCTATGTTTATAGCAGTGTTGTTTGTATAGCCAGAACATGGAAGTAGCCTAGATGCCCCTAAACTGAAGAATGGATGGATAAAATGTGGTACGTTTATACAATGGAGTACTACTCAGCGGGGGGTGGGGGGGATGGAATCTTGAAATTCGCAAGCAAATGGATAGAACTAGAAGAAACCATCCTGAGTGAGGTAACCCAGTCACAAAAAGACAAACATGATATGTACTCACTCATATATGAATTTTAGACATAGAGCAAAGGATTACAGTGCACAATCCTCTTCACCAAAGGAACTAGGAAACAAGAAGAACTGTAAGAGAAGAATGCATGGACCCTGGAGAAGGGGAAGGGGCAGGATCTCATGAGCTATTTGGGGGAGAGGGAGGTGGGAGAATGAGAGGGGGAGAAGAGGAGAGGAGAGGAGGAAATGGAGGAGCAGAAATGTTAAATTGGGGGAAGAATAGAGGAGAGCAGGATGAAAGATACCATAACAGAGGGAGCCATTATAGGTCTGAGGAGAGAGCTGGCACTAGCGAGATTTCCAGAGACCTACAAGGATGACACCAACTGACAATCTAAGCAATGGTGGAGAGGATAACCTAAATGCCATTCTTCTATAATGAGATTGATGACTTCTCTCTATGCCATCCTAGAGCCCTCATCCAGTGGCTGATGGAAGCAGAGGCAGACACCCACAGATATACACTGAACTGAACTCTGGAACCCAGTTGCAGAGAGGGAGGAGTGAAGAGCAAAGAAGTCAAGACCGGGCTGTTAAAACCCACAGAAACAGCTGATCTGAACAAGGGGGAGCACATGGACACTAAACTGATGTCTGGGAGGCCAGCATGGGACTGATCCAGACCCCTGGACGTGGATGTCAATGAGGAGGCCTGGGTACTCTATGGGGCCCCTGCTAGTAGTGGATCAGTGTTTATCCCTGGTGTAAGATGGGACTTTGGGAGCCCATCCCACATGGAGGGATTCTCTCTCAGCCTGGACACATGGGGGAGGGCCTAGGTCATGTTAGGCCCTGCCAAGAATGATATGACTGACTTTGAGGAACTCCCATGGAGGGCCTTACCCTCTCTGGGGAGCAGGGGGGATGAGGTGGGAGGCTGGTGGGGCTTGGGGAAGGAGAGGTCGAGGGTGAGGGCAAGGGAGAGGGAGAGGGAGAGGGAGAGGGATTGACATGTGAAGCAGCCTTGTTTCTAATTTGAACTAATAAAAAATAATCTCTTGGGAAAAAAGAAATAAACCAGGAACCTAAAAAAAAAAAAAGACATTACATTATAGTGCTTGTTACTATACAGTTTCAGATACCTGTTTTAGGTCTTGAATCTGGTCTTCTATGTAATAAGGAGAGCAAATGTGTTGTGATTCACCAGAGAGGACCACTCAGACATGGGTTTAAGCCAGTGGAAAGTCTTTACTAGGCAGCAGGAGGCTACACTAGGTGTTCAGGACCCCAGGGTAGCTTTGAGCCCTCCAAAATTTTGCAATAGATCTTAGCTACTATCAGGAAAGCAGATAATGAAGAGACAAAGGTAAAGGTAAAGATGGAGGGAAGATTCTAAAAGGAAGAAACCAAACTATCATGCATGAGTAATACTATTGCACAATTTAGGAAATCTAAGAGTTAATACATACATTTTATAACAATAAGCAATTGTAGCTGATCTGGATGTCACAATATACAAAATTATATTTGATTTATTTTTTAAAACAAGCAGCTTTATTGATATAAAATTTATCCTTTTTTGAGACAAGGTTTTTCTATATAGCCAAGGCTAGCCTCAAACTTGGGATCTTCCTGTCCTTACCCTCATCAATGAGAAGACAAATAGGGATGAGCCATGGTGCCTAGTTTGAAGTCTTCCTTTTAAAATGGGCAATTTAATAGTAACTAGTGTATCCACAAAATTGCTCAAACATCTCCACTATTTTGTTTTAGAAAACACTTTTCTTAGCCCCCCCCCAAAGAAAACAAATGCTGCTCCTCCCACCACTTTAGTGGTGAAAAATCTTTCCCTCCATCTTTCAGGCCCTATAAAACTACTAACATAGTATTACTACACAGCAGGAATTATTGCAAATTCAATACCAGTCTCTACTACATATCAAAGCCTGGTCTAAACAACAAGAACAACAAACACTGAATTTGATGCCATCGAGAGACCTCAATAATATGAAAAGTTGAAAATTATAAATATTATACTATGTTCTTATAGCATACATGCATAAGTCAATAATAAATAGTAGAGAAAAACTGGAAAATCTCTACTTTTAGAAATTGTTGTGTTGTGTCCTTGGGTTATTGTTTTGTTGTCATCTGATACAATTTACCTCATTTCAGAGGAGTCAGGCTCTACCAAGAGCATGCTTCTAGCTCCAATGATAGGAAAGAGCCCACCACTATAAAAAATAAGTAACTGCATTTGAAGAATAAAAATGGTTCCAAAATTTTTTTAAAGGTGATGATAAGTGATGGGGGTGGGATTGGAACTCAGCATGACTCAATAGTTAATGATCTTCAATGGTCTGTTATTCCTTTCTTCTATCTGAACTGTATGTGCAG